TACAGCCAAAGAAGAATAGCTAACATGAAGCAGAATTGAGTGGCCTCAGTCATTCAGCACAGGCAGCTCATAAGACATGGGTTCATAGCAACCAACACCCACATCAAACTCAAGAAAAAACAAACCAAAACAAAAAAACCCAGCAAGATCTCAAAAAAAGCAGCCTATCACTGCACGTCGAAGAGAGATGGGAGAGCAAAGGAACCCAAAGTTATTAGGAAGAAGGAAATATGGGGCAGAGAAAAACAAATGAAATAGAGACCAGGTCCAAAGGCTGATTATTTATTTATTTATTTATTTATTTATTTATTCATTCATTCATTATTTATTTATTTATTTAATGATAGCTCAGGCTTGCAACAAACTCCCTGTGTACTTTGGGGTGACCCAGAACTTCTTATCCTCTTGTCTCCACCTCACCAGTGCTGGGGTTGTAGGAGACACAACATTAAGCCTGGTTTAATGCAGGGTTGAGAATCTAATTAAATGTGGCCTAATTATAAAATTATAATTATAAAATCTAAAAATGCTATTCACTGTGGTCAAGGAGGAGTCATCCATGGGTTAAAGGATGGTTGAATATATTCAAATGATAGATGTAACACTATCCTAGCATTCTCAAAGTCTTGTATCCTATCACAAACACTGCACAAAACTGGGAGTGTGCACATGTGCCTGAAATCCTAGCACTCGGGAGACTGGCAGCAGGATCAGAAGTTCAAGTTCATCTTCAGTTACACAATGAACTCAAGGCAGTTTGGTCTATATCAGAACCTCCCAAAATAAACAAACAAAAATAAAACAAACTATGATATACCCCACTAACAGGATGAAAGACAGAGTTACATGATCATCTCTGCAGCTACAGAAAAGCATTTGATAAATTTCAAAATCATTTCATGATGAAACACGGACCAATTGGGTATAAGGGAAAACATCATTATAATTAAATGCAATATATAAAAACCTAATGTCTTACCAAACAGGGGGACCTGAAAGCTTTCCCCCAATAGCTGGACCATGTTTCCTATTTTCACAGCTTTCATTTTACACAATGGTGTAGTCCTAGCCAATGTCATCTGGGGAGAAAAATAAGTAAAATACATCTAAACTGGGAAAAAGGAAGTTAAGTTATTAATGTTTATTGTAACATGATTATAGAATACCCTAAAGACATCATTAAAGACATGATGAAAACTATATTTGAAGGCTACAAAGTCAGTGTTGTTGCTGCACATTTGTAATAAGTAAATCACCTGAAACAGAAATCAAGAAAATAGCCCAACTTACATAGCTCTGATGACAAATGTCAGAAATATGTTGTATGAAATAGGTAAATTACAATGAATACCTCAGATAATGGTGAAAGAAACCAAGGAACACACACACACACACAGACACAGACACAGACACAGACACACACACACACACACACACACACACACACACACACACACACCCCACAACAAAACCAAACAACATTTTGTGTGTGTGAGGACTAGAAGAATCAGACTGTTAAAATGTCCTCCCTACTGAAGTGGTCTACAGATTTAATGCAGTCCTTTTCAAAACACCAATGACATTCTCAACAGAACTAGAAAAAATCTAAAATTTGTTTGGAAACAGAAAAATCCCTGAATACCCAAAGACATACCCAAAGACAGCAAAAAGTAGAAAGCAGCTGGTATTATAATAACTGGATTCAAAGTACACTACAAAGCTGTAGCTATCAAAGCAACATGGTGTAGCCTTTTCCTTGATTCTTTATAGAAAGACCATGCTGTTTAGCGGGTTTGCTCTTCATTTTCTGTCTTGTTCTTTTTCCCAGTCGCTTATTTGCCCCTTTCTTCTCAGGCTTCCTGGGGCCCTCACCATGGGCCACCTTGGTTCACGAGTGTTCCATTTGGAGCCTTCTTTCCATCAAAACCAAACTTCTGGTTTTGGTACCGTCCTTTGACATTGGGCCCTTTTCTCATTCGCTAGCCCTTAGCTCTTGCCTTTGCACCGAGTTCGGCAGGCTTCTGATTCCCCTCAAGGAGATCCAGTTAATCAGAGAAACCTTTCTGGTCTTTCTTTCTTTCTTTCTTTCTTTCTTTCTTTCTTTCTTTCTTTCTTTTTTTATGATACAACAGACATTTATTGAAGTTTATATAGTTCAGGCACAGTTCCAAATGCTTTGTGACTGAAAGCATTTTGCCAGTTATTCTGACAATAAATCTATGAGGCAGAGACTATGTGATCCCTCATTTTATAGCAGAAGTGAGTGGAGCAGAGTCAGACAATGCCTAAGACAACGTGGTTAAGGGGCAGCAGACTTAGGATCCAGGTCCATGCAACAGTCAAGACCCAAACATATTTATCAGTTAGTTCTACTAAGAGACTTTTCTTTATTGCTTTGATACTATCTATCCCACTCTACTGCCAATGACTGTATTAACAATACATGAATATGAAGAGTAAAACAAGACAATAATGCTTCCTTCAATGTTTAGAATAGGGCACACAAAAGAAAAACAGTGGAGATAAGAAACTCCTAACAAGAGATTGAATTTGAAGGAGGAGAAACAGCAGCAGCAATAGCAGCACAGGTGGATGGATCTTTATGAGTTCAAAGCCAGCCTGGTCTAAATAGTGAGTTTCAGGTCTGCCAGGGCTACACAGTGAGACCCTATTGCACAAAAAGAAAAAAAGAAAGAAATGGGGCTGGAAAGATGACTCAGTGGTTTAAAATATTTGCTGCTCTTGCAGAGGACCTGAGTTCAACACTCAGGTGGCTCACACGACCTATTAACTCTAGTTCCAGGGGAATTCCAGTCCGGTCTTCGGTCAAGGTTTATAGGAGTAGCTGCGCTCCCCTGCTAGAACCTCCAAACAAGCTCTCAAGGTCCTTTCTGGTATTTCTTGATGGCATCCATCATATGCACTTTCTCCCGCTGCCTCTTCTGAAGGACCTCAGTCTGCACCTTCTTTCCGTACTTCCTAAGCGCTCAAAGTTGCTTGGCCTTTTCAGATTTTTCCATGGCAGCCTGTTTAGTCTGCAACTTCTGTCGAATCTTTTGCGTCTGTTGATCAGACTTGGCCATTTCTGCAAAATAGTCTGTGGGTCGCTTGGTGGAGACTTGGAGCTGATGGAGCCAGGGGTAATACTGCAAGCACTGCAGCCTGGGCCTGGTGGTAGAAACTCATATCCCTCTAGAAGTCGTCTTGTAGATTAACAGCTTGCTTCTCGTCCTTGTTCTGGGGGCTTGGCTGAGTTTAACTGACTTCTGGCACTGGACCTAGGGTAACATCAAGCCTTTCAACCCTCTCCAGATCCCGTTTGAATTCAGCCAAACACTGTTTGAGGCCATTCGCATCATTCACTGCCTTCTTTGGCCTCTCTAGCACAACACTGAGGCCTGGCTTAAGGAGTACTTGGGAAAATGCCTCCTGCAACTCCTGGTCTAAGACCAGGGATCCTTCTGACTCCTCGTCCCAGTCAGAGAGCAGAGGCGTGTCCATCTCATGGTCCTGCCCCGCGGGGTGCATCAGCCACTCCACGTGCCTTGATGACGCACCTTGCATTAAATATTTATATATAAAACATGAAACTATGAGAATTTTAGAAGAAAACACCCAATAAATGTTTCATGGCACTGTATTGGTCAAAGAATTTTTGGAAATGGCCCACCAAACAGGAAACAAAGCAAAAATATAGAAAGTATTAAAAAAAAACAGTTTTGTCCTGAAAAGGAAGCAACCAATAGATTTAGAAGCAGCCTACAGAATCAGGGAAACATATACAAACTAGAAATCTGATAATAGTCAGGAACACTAAAAAAATAACAATAGTAAAAAAATCCTCCATTTAAACTTGGGCAGAGAGCTACATAGTCATCTCTCAACAGAACATATAAGCAGCCTGCATATATATATGAAAAAGTCTCATCATCACTAACCATCAGCACAATATAAACCAAAATTATGATGAAGGCTGATGAGACGGCTCAGTGGGTAAAAGGGCATGATGCCAAGTTTGATGACGTGAGTTTGATCCCTGGAACTCACATAGTAGAAGGAAAGAACCAATTTCTTCAAGTTTCCTCTAACCATATGGTTACCTTGGAGACAATGGAATCTTGTATGTTATCAGTGAGAATGTAAATTATAAGCCTTTACAAAAACAGAATGCAGACCCTTCAAAAAAATAAAAAAATAGAGATACAATGTGATTCTGTAACTTCATCCCCACTCCAAAAGGAATGAATCAGTACAATGAAGATACATGCACTCCCATGTTTTCTATAGCATCATACATAATTATTAAAAACTAGAAAAAAACTTACATATTTGTGCATAAAGGAAACATGCTACATCTCTAGAATAGAATACTATTCAGTCAGAGAATGAATGGAGTACTGGGGCTGGGGAGTGTCTCAATTGGTAAAGTGTTTGCAGCATAGGCCTGAAGACCTGGCTTTGGAGCTTAAGAAGCCAGGTTCGGTGGCATCAAATCCTGCTGCCAAATGGTAGATCCTTGGTCAGCCAGCCTAGTTGAGTCAAGAAGCTCAGTGAGAGATTTTTGTCTCAAAAAATAAGGTGGGGAATGATTGAGAAAGACACCTGATGGGGAGTGTACTTCTTTGTATGTTTATCTTATTGATTGTTGAATAAAATACTGTTTGGCCAATGGCAAGCAAGGACTAGGAGTCAAAGAGGATTCTGGGAAATGTAGTAGAGAAGTGATGATCCAGGCAGGAAGTGACATGGCAAGGAGACTCATATCTAAGCGAGGAAACAGGAAGTATGCTCTTTCCCCTCCACTCCTTCTCCTGTGGCACAATGTGATCCACCGACAAGGAGGGACGCCATTAAGGCGTCCAATAAGATAAGTCTTATAACATATATAGATTTATGATAATTAAGACTGAGCTAACAGATGAGAAGTCCTAGTCATTGGCCAAGCAGCATTGAACCTAATACAAGTTTCTGTTTATTCATTTGGGCCTAACTCGGTAGGCGGCTGGCTTAAAGCTCACACGTGGTGGTGGTGGTGGGGCTCAGGCGGCTTTTAGCAGAAAGATTTATCATAACAGACACCCTTAGCAGACCATGGAAACCCATGCTCCTTCATCCCCAGAACGAAAGCTTTTTGTTTATGACAATTGGGCTAGAATAACTGATCATCGTACTAACTGAAGTAAGTAAGGCATAGAAAGACAAGTACTTCGTAATCTTACTCCTCATGTGTGGACTCTAAGAGTTGAAAAAGTTACTGTCATAGAGGTTGAGAGTAGAAGGGTGAATTTTAGAAGCTGAGGAGAGTAGGAACATACAAAGAGGGCAAAAAGTTAATCAATGGGTACCTAGTTACAGGTAGATGTTGGTAAGAAGTTCTGGTGTGCTATTCCGTTGTAGAGTGCATATAGGAAGCACTTAAGTACTGTGTATTTCAGAAAGTTATGAGAGGAATTTGAAAGCTTTGCCATAAATAAATAATTCATGGTCAAAGAGATAGTTATGTTTCAGTTAGTTGAAAAAGCCAGAGTTGGAAAATCATATATTGCATGCTTTTACCCCTGTGTAGAATGTAGAAAATATTGACATGAAAGTAGAGGGGAGACTGCTAGGAGAGAGGGAGGGGAGGGAGGACCAAGGCTGAAAGATAATGATGAAAAACAAATATGATCAAGGCACATTGTATGTACATATGAAAATGTCACAATAAAACCTATTATGTTTTCTAATTAATATATTATAACACAATTATACATTGTATTCATGTACCCCAAAATCTTTTGTATGCAATTAATATACTCATGTCCTATATTTTATGAACCAGTTAAAAATAAATAAAAATTAAACCTCAAACTTCTGGGATGCAGCCTAAATCAGTATTTGAGTTAAAAAATTCAAATTAATATAGAAATTCTGACAAATGAGTCATGCTTCATCCTGAAAAACCAGATACATGAAAACAAAGTAATCAAATATAAAATCTAGAATAAAGATGAAAATAAAAATTGCTGAAGTTCTAGAATCTTCTTAGACACAGATCAATTTAGCCCAAAATGAGTGATTTGAAAGAGCTAGATGAATAAGCAAAACCTTAGCAAGACTGACAAAAAAAAAAAAGAAAGAAAGAAACAAGGCATAGACACTTGGGATTTTTTTTTCAAAACAGACACTAGTAAGAAATGGATGGAATTAGCTTGATGACCAAGGTTGAATACCTGGAACCCATATGGTAGAAGGAAAAAACTGAATCCCAAAAGTTGTACTCTGACTTTCATACATTAACTGTGGCACTTTCATGTTGTGATATATTACTTATGATTTATTAAAGCTTGCCTGAGGATTCAGAAAGCAAAGTCAGCCTCAAGCTATAGAGATCAGACAGTGGTGGCACACACCTTTAATCCCAGCACTAGGGAGGTATATAAAACAGGAGCAAGGTCTCAGTATCAGTCATTCATTCTCCAGCTAGTGACCAGTTGCTTTGCTTTTCTGATCTTCAGCTTGAAGCTTGAACCCCAATATCAGACTTTGGGTCTTTTATTTTTGTGTTACACTTTCACACTCAAACACATAGTACACATATATGCCCACCTAAGGAAATGGAAAGAAAATTGTCTTTTAAAAGAACAGAAATTATCTTTAATATAAACTCATTTAATAGCTAGAATAATAAACTTTATCTAATTCATTCTTTTGAGATATAGTTATGGGGTCAAAATTGGGCAAACAATATAAAATATCTTTTAGATATTATTCACTCCCTCATAGTCGCAAAACACAAAGATAAAAATCATAAAATTATATCATAACATGATAGAATTTATCCAAAGAATGCAAGAGTTTTCAACTACAGAAAATATATTGATGCCATGCACCTGTTGAACAAGAATTTTTAATTTCCATGTGTCCTGAAACTAGAGCCAATGATTGACATTTGCTCATGCCTATTTTTTCAAGTTGTTTTAATGGTGGAGAGTCTTGAGAGTCTCCATCTGGAGACAAAGAAAGGATCTACAGTGAAGAGAGTGTCTCCTGGAATAGAAAGCACACTTATTCCTTCCCCAAGGTAAGATGTGCATTCTCCTATCTCGGGATTCCTTTCTTGTAATGCAACTGCCCACCTCTGAGCGTATCCACTTGGACCAATTTGCATGTTCTCTTTGCAGACAAGAGAGACTATACAGATGTGTTACTTTCCACCTGCTTTGTTTGGCAAGGGAAAATAATCTCCTGACTCTGATCTTAGAGCCTCACATCTTCTGCCAACATCCCTGAAATGGTGGGAGGCTGACCAGACACACTGTAGGTAGGGTGGGATGGCATACCCTTCATAGTTCCTGACTCTGATCAATATTGGCTTGCCAAAAGTCATTAATGATAAAATGTTTTAGTGAATCGGAATCAAAGGCTTTAGTCTTAAAGGAACTAGCTTGATTGGCTGAAGAATATACTTGTCAAAAACCTGTAACCAACAGTCATACTGGTTAGGTTTTAGAAATATTTCTATTTAGATTAGGATCTAGGTAGAAATTCTGCTATTATTACTTATATCAAGCTTTTATTGGGATTCTCAGACAAGGACACAGCACACACCACCCCCCATACACACCAAAGCAATTAGAATATAAGAGTTGAATATAAAGGTAATATTGTGATTGAGGTGAAAAAAGTTTCAGGAAATCTATAGGCAGATTCATAAAATAAATCAATGTTCGGCAAGTCACTCAGGCTTCTGAGCTTTTTTGGGGAGAAAGAGAGGTTGAGAGCAGCTTCCCTTTGAATGGCGGCCTCCATTGACCCACACTTCTGCACGGGTTATTCAAGCTCTTCCTCTCCTAAAATACATTGCAGTTTAGTAGGAAATCTTAGCATAGGTCTTTTATATCTTAGAGGAGCATTTAGGTGGCTTCTATAACATTCTAGAATTTGACCCTAAGTGGAAGATGATTCTGTGAAATCCATGTTCAAGTGTCCTAATGGATCAGAGATGTTATCTGGAGGATGATAAAAAAAAATGGCCAATTTTTACTGTACTACTTTTTCCTAGAACAGTAGTTCAGTTCAAATAAGATTCAGACTCGAATCTAATGGACACCATCGAGACAGCTACAATGCATTTGATCTTCAATACAAGTAGTTTTTTCCTCAAGAAAACAATTTTTTTTTGTCTCCTGCTTGCCTTGTTCCTTTGATGCAGAATCCTTCCCTGAACCTGGAGTTCAGCTCAGCTTGCCCTCAGCAAGCCCCATTGACTCATACATTGATGTACCCTTCAGTTCTTGGGTTATAGGCATTCTTGGGATTATGTTCAGATTTTATTTATTTATTTTTAGTTTTTTATTTTTATATATTTGAATTATAAACAAGATTGAATTACATGACAATCCCAGTTCCCTTCTCCCTCCCTTCCTCCCCACCACCTCCCACCTAAAATCCTACCTATCATATGTCCTTTCTTCTAATCTACACCTGACTCAACCTTTCTGCTCCCTCATGACCTCTGCATCCTTCCTTTTCTTCCCTTCTCATTCTTGTAGCTCCCTCCTCCCCTTCCCATGTTCTCAATTTGCTCAGGATATGTTGACCCTTTCCCCTTCTCCAGGGGACAAAGTTTGTCTCTCTTAGGGTC